AAGACGCACCAGGGAGCTGCAGAGTCTGGAGACTTTAGTATGGATTTCGACTGTGCCCCTTCCCAGGACTGTGACCTTGACCAAATCCCTCCCTGCTGTCGGCCTCCATTTCCTCGTGTCCAAAATTGGAAAATTCACAATTCCTTCCCTGTGTGGGGGGGGACACGGAGAGGGCACATGTGTGATGCATTCCCTTAATTCCACCAAGTGGCCTCCTTGGTGAGAAGACATGCCCCTTCTGAGGTGGCCTCCAAAAATATTCTCAAGAATATAGAGGCGCACCATGAGGGTGTACAGAAATTCTCAGTACATCCAGTGCTGTGTCCCTCATGGCCCAGGTCACTGGCTATACAAATAGTCTAAAGATTCTGTAGATGCCCATAGCCAAGGTGCACATTCACTATGCAGTGGCTGCACCTGTGGTCAGTACTGGCCGTACTGAGAATTTCTGTACGCCCTGATGGCGCACCTCCACATTCTTGGGAATATTTGTGGAGGTCACCTCAGAAGGGGCACATCTTCCCTACTCAGCTGCAGTCTGCCCAACTCCCTATTCATCTTGCCTGATTCTGTGCCAACTGTGGTTCCCACACCATCCCCCACAGCCAGTAACACCTGCCCACTAGATTCCAGACTTCAGGGCACATGGATGCTGGGCAGGTCCCAGGGAACAGGTTTCCTCCATCAGTGCTGAGGAAAACAGAACATATGCTGGAAAGAAGGGCCCCAATTATGCTGCTCCCACCTGCACTGGATGTTATCACAGCAAGTGCCCCTCTCCAGAGTGACCTCTGGGTCTTCACATAATGGAGGCATGTGGAGTTTACACTCACAAAGCTTGTCAGTCTTTCCAAGAGGCCTTGGGCAGCAAGGTGAATTAGGCCCCAACTGGACTGAGAAGTTGCTCTCTGCCATCCTGCCGCACCGAGGCACACAAAGTTAACAGCCCCAAATACGTGTGCAGCATTGGCTAACAGCGGAGTTCTCGTCTACATGTGTTACGGTTATTGATGTGTTTTAACCCACACAGGAACTTTATGAGGGGGTACTCATACTATTATCCCCAGTGTAGAGATGAGAAAACCGAGGCCAGAGGAGTTCAGGGATGGGTCCCACAACCCACTGCTAGTAAGTGTCAGCACCAGGAAGGAGTCACACGCTGGCTCTGGGTCCAGGTGCTCCATCACACGCTGCCACAGGATGCTTATCCCTAACACTCAGTCCAGAACCAATACTTGTAGGGTGTTCCCACGACCCAGCGACTTTTTCAGGCATTTCAATTGCATTATAAGTTTCTGAAATTCATTAAACTTATGGACTAATTTGTAGAAGTCACATGTATAAAATGTTGAGTTTCCTCATTCAGGAGCGTGTTATGTTCATCCTCTGTAAAGAATGAGATGGCCCTTCCTGTAGACCCTGAACTAAAAGATTCTATTTGGGGTTTTCCTTGCAGGCTTCTCATGTAGCAGGTGCAGGAAAGGCCCCATTTTTTTTTTTTTTTTTTGTGAGGAAGATCAGCCCTGAGCTAACGTCCATGCCAATCCTCCTCTTTTTGCTGAGGAAGACTAGCCCTGAGCTAACATCTATTGCCAATCCTCCTTTTTTTTTTGTCCCCCTTTTTCTCCCCAAAGCCCCAGCAGATAGTTGTATGTCATAGCTGCACATCCTTCTTAGTTGCTGTATGTGGGACACTGCCTCAGCATGGCCGGACAAGTGGTGTGTCGGTGCGTGCCCGGGATCCGAACCCGGGCCGCCAGTAGCGGAGCGTGCGCACTTAACCACTAAGGCATGGGGCCGGCCTCAGAGGCCCCATTTTTGAGATGAAGAAACTGAGGCTCAGGGAGGTTAACTGCTTTGTGAAGGACATGGATATGTGGCTGATCCAAATCAGAGACCCAGGTTGGCCCTCTCTATCATTTTTCTGTTGAACCACAAAGCTACACAACCCTGTTCCAGAAGATGCCAAGTCCCAGCACGTCCATCATGATGATGGGGATAATGATGATGAGGATGATCATGATGAGGATGAGGGTGTAAACAACAGCAGTGATGGCAGCAGGATTCATACCTCGATCTTGCACAGTCAAGGAGGAACCGACTGTTTTCTGTGTCCTTTTCATATATGAACTCATTCACAGTCACAATGCTGTGACGTAGATACCATCTTACCCCATTTTGCCAAGGTGGAACCTGAGGCACAGAGGGGTTCAGAAACTTGCCTGGGGCCACACAGCCTGTGAGTGCACAGCTGGGATCCTCACCAGGAAACTTGGCTCCAGGGCCCAGCCTCCTGAGTGTGACACCAAGGAGGAAACATTTCCTAGCTACTGTGTGGGGCCAGCATTCATAAAGAAGGTGGGCCATGAGGGGCGGGGTAGGTGACTGGAGTATTTAATCCTTAGGGAAGGGGAATCTGTGTGAGGAGACAACTTGGTGATTCCCAGATTTAGATATTTCATGAACCTCTAAAATTTTTTAAAAATTAGAAAACTCATGGGCCCATCCCAGTGGCGCAAGCGGTTAAGTGCGCACACTCTGCTGTGGTGGCCCGGGGTTTGCCAGTTCAGATCCCGGGCGTGCACCAACGTACTGCTTGGCAAGCCATGCTGTGGCGGTGTCCCAGATAAAGTGGAGGAAGATGGGCATGGATGTTAGCCCAGGGCCAGTCTTCCTCAGCAAAAAAAAAAAAAGAGGAAGATTGGCAGATGTCAGCACAGGGCTGATCTTCCTCACACACACAAAAAAAATTAGAAAACTCACACAGTGAATTGATCCAATAAGGACATTTCATGGACAACTATCATCTACTCTCACTCATACTTTTATAAAAGATAGGACTTTGACAAGCAAAGAAAGCAGAGGACAGCACCTCAGCATGAAGGAAGATCTTCTGCATTGAATAAGGTATCTAAGGGACTCACAACAGTGGCCGAATTTTCCTTACTGTGCCGAGGACAGGGATTTCATTAGAACTAAATGAGTTGAAATAAACACTGTCTGCAACAGGCCTGACACCTCTCTGTGCTCAAGGGACCTAAGCTGTGACCATTCTTACTAATTTATTCTTGTTAAACTAACCCACATTCCATTTGTCTTAGAGTGTACTCTAAAAAGCACACTTGTCTCTCTGCTAATTAGGAGAACCACTTGGACTTTGCCACAAATGGAAGCTGACTATGAAAACACAACCATAGTCAAAATACTGCTCTGAATCTTAGGAAGCTCATGGGGGCTGCTCAGGGCTGCTCCCTATCTTGAAAAAAGAAATTAGTAACAGTTAGGGGGACATTACAGATGCAACACGATTCCAAGACTTTCTCCTGACAACACTCAGAAGGAAACAGAAAGGAAGAAGGAGCAGCTTTCTCAGGGAGTCATTGCCTGCCACCTGATGCTGTTTCTGTGCACCCTCTAAAATCATCTCCTGGACCAGTGCAGGAGCTGGGCCCAAGCCTTAGGAAACAAGGGATGAAGGCGCAGCCCTCAAGGGCATTTTTACTGAGATTGTGTTGTTAGGAAGATACATGGGGAGCACCCCTGGCAAATGTCTTCCTAGGGGTGCTGCCTGATTCACCCCCACTTCTGAGAACATCCCCTCACCCACAACCCTGCTATTGGGCTGTGGGGACACTTGGCCCAACCAGGCTGAGCCAGTCAGCTTCCCTCCTGTGGAATCTGGAATAAGGAGATCAGACTGAGGCCCAAATGTGCTGGGCACTGGGGTGAGGGTTTCTGTTTAGAAAGACGCTTTCTACCCAAAGACATCTGATTCAGACAAAGGGAGATTAGAAAGGAGAACATGGGTCCAGAGCATGGTGAGAGCTAGAGAGAGGAAGAAAGGTGAGCTCCATTGCTCTTCTAAACCTGTGGGCCTGATTGAGAGGGCAGAATCAAGGAGGCCGTGGATCCCCTGCATGGAGAGGGGAGCCCTTACCCAGTGAGACCAGGAGTGAACAGGCCTCCAGCATCACCTGCAAATACAAAATTCCTGAGCTCTGTGCTGAGCTCAAAGGAGATAGGATACAGCCTCTGGACTTAACAATTATGGCTGAGAGGAAAGCCTCCCATGGGTGAAGCCAATGGAGAGAATCAGTGGGGTTCCCTTGAGAACTTGGGGGAAGAGGGTAAGTGCTCTGGGACATCAAAGGAATAGGGAGAAATGATCATGACAATAATTCCAACAATGAACACAGCAGTAGCAGCAGCAGCAACCGCTGAGCCTCCCTGGTCCTTGCCATGTGTCTGCCCTGGGCTGAGAGCGTCACATGCCGAGGTAAAGGGATTAAACTTTCCAAGCTCTGGAGCTAGACTCAGGGGTATGAATCCAGCCTCTTGAATCTGGCACTTGTCCACTGTGTGAACCTGGAGAACCCACTTCATTCTGTGATCCTGGAGTTTTCCCAGTAATACAGTAATAGTTCCCCTTCCCCAGGTTGTTGTGAGAATTAAAGAGAAAATGCTCAAAAAGCAGGTAAGAGATGGTGTGTTTTGTTCCTTTTATTGATCCTCACAGAAGCCAAGGTAAATGCCATCATTACCTGCATGTCACACAGTCAGTGCCCTGAGCCCCCAGGAGTTCTAGTGAGTCACTCAGACATTCCCTATTGGGGAACTCACACTGAGACCTCAGTACGCTGCAGCCCCCTCCTGCCCGCAGGGACAAAGGGTGCCTTGCCCTGGGATCATCATGGCACACAGATGGAGACCACAGGTGCAGCCGCTACTCAGTTAATGGGCACCTTGGCTCTTCACCTCTTCCAACAACCTGAGGCAGGGTCAACCCCAGCCCCATTTTATAGGAGGACACTTTGGCCTAGAGGAAGTCATTGTCTTGAGCTCCAGTGATGGTCGGGGAACTGAGATTCAAACCTAGGCACCTGAGGTATCTGATCAGTGTCCTCTTTCTCTCCCCACGGGGCTTTGAACACCCAATCCATCCTGATACTATCTGGTCCCCCATCAGTGCCAAGCCAACAATATAGACCAGGAAAATGAGCAAACACTACAAAGGAAGACTTTATTGTATTATTGAATGTCTGAACTTAAGAAACAGATGGAGAATATGTTAACAATGCAGATTAATGTTAAGACTATGTGTCCATCACATTGTGCACAGCACAAAAAATTTTGGAAAAAATTAGGATATATTCTAGTACTGAAAACAATTATTTATTTCATTAAAAAAGGAAGTCACTGATGTATTTGAGAATGAGTGAAATTCCAACATATATATTTGTTGCTTCATTGTCCTATTTGTCAATGAAAAGGAAAATAACCAAAGTTTATAAAAGAACAGGCAAAAGGTATCAGCACACTTTTTATCAAAGACTTACAGATAGCAAATAAACATCTGAAAAACTGCTCATCAGGAATCCTTAGGGCAATGCAATCGAAACAAGAGTGAAATAGCATGACAAAATTATCAAAAGGGCTAAATTAAAAATGATTAACCACATTCGGTACAGCATAAGGACTTCCTACATTGTGAATTCTCCTGTGTTGAATGACACTGGAGTTTTAGGAAAGCATTTTCGACATTCACTACACATAAGGCATGATGCAGTGTGAATTTCTGATGTGGAAGGAACACAGTCCTTTAGCTAATGAATTTCCCACATTGGCCTCATTCATAAGGCCTTGATCCAGTGTGAAGTCTCTCATGTTGTCGGAGTGCAGAGCGTTGGGTAAAAGATTTCTCACATTCACTGCACTCAAAAGGCCTTTCTCCAGTGTGAACTCTCTGGTGTTGAATGAGTGTTGAGCTACAGGCAAAATATTTCCCACATTCACTACACTCATAACGCCTTTGCTCAGTGTGGACTCTCTGGTGTTTACTGATTTGGGAAATATACCTAAATGATTTCCCACAATCAGTACACTCATAAGGCCTTTCTCCCGAGTGAACTCGCCAGTGTTGATTGTAATGTGAACTCCTCATGAAGGATTTTCCACATTCACTGCACTTATAAGGCCTTTCTCCTGTGTGAACTCTCTGGTGATCACTGAATTGGGAACTATACCTAAATGATTTCCCACATTCAGTGCACTCATAAGGCCTTTCTCCAGTGTGAATTTTCCGGTGTTTAGCAAGCGCTGAGCTATTGGTATAAGATTTCCCACATTCATTACACTCAAAAGACCTCTCTCCAGTGTGAACTCTCTGATGTTTTTTGAGTTGGGAACGATCCCTATACAATTTCCCACATTCAGTGCACTCATAATCCCTATCTCCAGTGTGAACTCTCTGGTGTTCACTGAATTGTGAACTACGCCAGAAGGATTTTCCACATTCACCGCACTTATAAGGCTTTTCTCCTGTGTGAATTCTCCTGTGTCGAATAAGTGTCGAGCTATTGGTATATGATTTCCCACAGTCAACACATACATAAGACCTTAACCCAGTGTGAACACTCTGATGATAATGAAGACTCGAGGTAGACGAGAAAGATTTCCCACATTCACTACATTTATAAGGCTTTTCTCCAGTGTGAAATCTCCAGTGTTGAATGAGATGAGAATTTACTCTAAATGATTTCCCACATTGGCTGCACTCATAGGGCCTTTCTCCAGTGTGAACTCTCTGATGATCACGAAGGGTACCCCTAACGCTGAAAGATTTCCCACATTCACTGCACTCATAAGGCCTCTCTCCTGTGTGAACTCTCTGGTGTTTAACAAGGTTGGATCTTTGGATAAAGGATTTCCCACATTCAGTACAACGATGAGGCCTTTCTCCAGAGTGAATTCTCTGGTGTATAACAAGTTTGGATCTTTGGATAAAGGATTTCCCACATTCACTGCACTCATAAGGCCTTTCTCCTGTGTGAACTTTCTCATGATAAAGGAGGGTTGTCTTAGTGGTGAAAGATTTCCCACATTCACTGCACTCATATGGCCTCTCTCCTGTGTGAACTCGCTGGTGTATAACAAGTTTGGATCTTTGGAGAAAGGATTTCCTACATTCACTGCATTCATAAGGCCTTTCTCCTGTATGAACTCTCTGATGATTACTGAGTTTGGACCCAGATGAAAAAGATTTCCCACATTTACTGCAATGAAAAGGCCTTTCTCCCGTATGTACTCTCTGGTGGAGAATGAGTACCGAGTTTCTGGTAAAAGATTTCCCACATTCACTGCATTCATAAGGCCTTTCTCCAGTGTGAACTCTCCAGTGTACAAGGAGGTAGAATTTTCGTCTAAAAGATTTCCCACACTGAGTGCACTCATAACGCCTTTCTCCAGTGTGAACTGTTCGTTGTCGAATAAGGGTGGAACTACGGCTAAAAGACTGGGCACATTCACTGCACAAGTAACAATTTTCTTCAGTGTGACTTCTCCAGGGATAAATGAGGACAGATTTTTGGTTAAAGGATTGTCCACATTTGCTGCACTTGCACTGCCTTGCCCCAGAATGAATTCTTTGATGCCGACTGAGGGTTGAGGTTCGCCTAAAAGATTTGCCACATTCTCCACATATGTGAAGCCTTTCTACAGCATGGACTCTCTGGTGTACAACAAATGAAGATTTGTACCTGAATGTTCTCCCACATTCACGGCATACAAAACATTGTTTTCCAGTGTGGACACCCTGGTCCTGAACAGGTATGTGTTTAGGGTTGAAGCGTTTCTTGCATTCTCCCCAGGTGAAGTGACTTTTTCTCAGACCTGCCTTGGGAGTCCTGGCCTGTGACACACCTACAGAAACACTGTGTTGAAAGGGTGCCTCCACATCCTCTGTTTCACTCCAGCAACCTGAATGCAAAGAAACCCTGGTGAAGTACATGTTGACTTTAGAAGGAGAGTGATAACCCATCACAAACCACATCTGTCACATCTAGCAATAAGTCTATGGACATTAGACTTTTCCAGAGAAGGGAGGTGGAATCCGTTGGGGTTGGGGAAGTGACTTCAGGGCATTACTGGGCTCCTAAGGCAAAAGAATGGTGGAGACCTCACCGGGGAAGGACACAAGGATTGAGTGTGACACAAAGAAGAGAGGCATATTCTAAATCTTGCTCCTCTGCTAAAGGATTCTTGCAGGACCTTTACTGGTGGTGACATGAGGCTGCATAGAAGCATGTCTAAACCCAGGAAAAAACAATTGCAATTGAGTAGCTGTAGTTTAAGGCCAATGTAAGATGTGTGCACACCTTATGGCACACGTGAACCAATGTTGCAGAGCAACAGAAGAAGAGTTATGAGAAAAATGGGTGAGATATGAAGTCTAGAGAGGTGGAGATTCTTCCTGGGCTGGAAGTCAGAGTTGAAAGCACAAGTAGTAGAATTGACTAGAAGACAAAGTATCAACCATGGGGAAGAAAAAGCAGAAATGGGGTGTGGGACTGGCAATAACAACAAAACACTGGTTAAATGGGAAACGTTCCTGGTATGATCTGAAAACAGTCCTGATGTCACACCCTCCACAGGCTCACGAGGCCCAGGTACCTGTGAGTTCATCTTGCAGCCCTGGCTATTGAGAATCTCTACAATCTTTGTCACTGCTGACCTCAGCTGACAGAGGTTCAGGGTGATTACATGGCTGGGACCTCCCCAGAGCCAAAAACGCCACAACCCATGCAGCCGGTGACCTCACAACCAATCCAAGGTGAAGGTCTTTCTCCACCAAAACCAGCCCCTAAAGGTTGGAGGAGGTGACTGATCCATCAAATGTGGAGACATCAACAAAAGGCCATAAAGAACATGAAAAATCAAGGAAACATGACATCACCATTGGAGCACAATAAGTTTCCAGTAAGTGAACCTAAAGAAACAGATCTACAAACTGCTGGACAAAGAATTCAAAATAATTGTTTTAAGGAAGCTCAGCCAGATCCAAGAAAACACAGACAACTCAGTGAAATCAGGAAAATAATAAACGAACAAATCAGAAATAGAAATAATAAAAATAAGGAATTAAATTCTGGAGGTGATGATTACAATGAATGAAATGAAAACTATAACACTGAAATTATACAAAAGTGAGCATGAACAGCCAAACTGATCAAAGAGGCAAAAAACATGTGAGCTCAAATCAGATCATTTCAAGTTAGCCAGTCAGAGGAGAAAAAAGACTGAAAAGACTATGTAAATTATGGGATGCCATCAAGGGAAATAATATACACATTATGGAAGTGCCCCAAGGACAAGTGAGGGAGAAAGGGGGAGAAAGCTTATTTAAAGAAATAATGGCTGAAAACTTACCAAATCAGGAGAGGGATGTGGACAATCAGGTACATGATGCTTATAGGTCCTCATAAAGATTCAATCTAAACAGATCCTCACAGAGACACATTATAAAAAAACTTTCAAAAATCAAAGACAAAGGGAATTTCAAAAGCAGCAAGAGAAAAGAAACTCATCACATACATGGGAAACCCCATACGGCTGTAAGTGGATTTCTCAGCAGAAACCAGGTTGACCACGAGGGAGTGAAGTGATAAATTCAAAATGCTGAAGGAAAAAAACTGCCAAACAAGAATGCTTTATCCACCAAAGCTGTCCTTCAAAAATGAAGGAGAGATAAAGACTTCCCTAGGCAAACAAAAGCTGAGGGAATTCATCACCACTCAACCTGCCTTACCAGAAATGCTAAAGGGAGTTCTTCAAGCTGAAATGAAAAGACACTAATTAGTAACATAAAAACATGAAAATATAAAGTACACTGGTAAAGGCAAATATACAGTCAAATTCGGAATGCACCAATACTCTAACATGGTGGTGTGTAAATCACTGAACTCTAGTATAAAGCATAAAAGACAAGAGTATTAAAAATAACCCTATCCACAATAATTTCTTAATGGTTACACAATGTAAAAAGATATAAACTGTGACATCAAAAAATTCAGGGGGGTGGGATACTAAAAGGGTACTTTTTATGTTATTGACGTTAAGATGTTATCAGCTTAATATAGACTGTTGTAAGATGTTTTATGTAAACCTCATGGTAACCAAAAAGCAAAAACCTACAATAGATAAAGAGAAAGGAATCAGAGCATACCACTAGGGAAAATCATCAAATCACAAAGGAAGAGAAGATGAGAGGAAAAGAGACTACAAAAGAGCCAGAAAACAATTAACAAGATGGCAATCCACAAGTCCTTACAAAATTCCCTAATCAAAACACACAGAGTGGCTGAATGGATAAACCAAACAAGATCCAATTACATGTTACCTACAAGAGATGCACTTTAGTTCTAAGGAATCAAGTAAGCTGAAAGTGAAGAAATCGAAAAAATTATTCCATGCAAATGGAAATCAAAAGAGTGTAACTTATACTTATAAGTAGCTGTACTCATACGAAACAAAATAGACTTTAACTCACAACCTGTCTCACGAAACAAAGAAAGTCATTATATAATGATAAAGGAGTCAGTTCATCTAGAGGATATAACAATTATCCCACACCCAACATCAGAGCACCTAAATATATTAAGCAAGTATATGGGAAGGTAGAAAAGACAGCAACAAACCACCAATAGCAGACTTGAATAACCATTTTTCAAGAATGGGTAGATCATCCAGATAGAAAATCAATAAGGAAATATTTGAAGTACACTTTAGACCAAATGGACCTAACAAACAAATACAGAACATTCCATCCAACTACAGCAGGATATACATTCTTCTCAAGTCGACGCAGAACATTCTCTAGAACAGATCAAATGTTAGGTAACAAAACAAGTCTGAACAGATTTAATAAGACTAAAATCATATCAAGAATCTTATCTGACTACAAAGGTATGAAACTAGGAATCAGTAACAAAGCTAGAAAGTTCATGAATATGTGGACATTAAATAACACACCCCTGAACAATCAATGAGTTAAAGAAAACAATCAAAGTTAAAAATAAAATTATCGCAAGATGAATGAAAATGGAAACAAAACATGCCAAAACTTATGAAAAGCAGCAAAAGCAGTTCTAAGAGTAAAATTTATGGCAGTCAATGCCTACATTAAGGAAAAAGAAAAGTCTCAAATAAAGAACCTAACTTTACACCACGAGGAACTAGAAAAAGAACAATAAACTAAGCCCAAATTTAGGGGAAGGAAGGAAAAGAACAAAGATCAGAGCAGAAATAAATGAAATACAGAATAGAAAAACAATAGAAAAGATCCACAAAGCAAAGAGTTGGTTTCTGAAAACAAACAAAAATTCATAACCTTTAGCTAGACTAACTTAGGAAAGAGAGAAAACTCAAATAAATAAGATCAGAAATGAAACAGGAGACACTGAAATTGATACTAAAGAAACACCAAGATCTTACGAGACTACTATGAACTGGATTAACTAGCAGAAATGGATAAATTCCTACAAACATATAATCTATCAAGACTGAATCATAAAGAAATAGGAAATTTGAATAGACCAATAATAAGTAAGGAAATTGAATCATTAAACAAATCTCCCAACAAAGAAAAGCCCAGGACCAGATAGATTCACTGGGCAATTCCAGCAAAGATTTTAAGGAGAGTTAACACCAATCCTTCCTCAACTCCAAAACTTCCAAAGCATTAAAAAGGAAGAAAAATGTCCAAACTCAATTTACGAGGCCAGCATTACCCTGACACCAAAGCAAGATAAGGAAACTACAAGAAAATTAAATTACAGACCAATATCCTTGATGAACACAGAAGGAAAAATCCTCAACAAGATACTAGCAAAGCAAATTCAACAGCATATTAAAAGAATCTTACACTATGATCAAGTGGGATTTATCCCTGGGATGCAAATATGGCCCATCACATGCAAATCAATAAACGGGACACACCATGTTAACAGAATGAAGGATAAAAATCGTATGATCATTCAATAGATACAGAAAAAGCACTTAACAAAACTGAACATACTTTCATGTTAAAAACTCCCAAGAAATTAGGTATAGAAGGAGTGTACCTCAATATAATAAAGGTATATACGATATGCCCATGCTAACATCACACTCAATGGATAAAAGCTAAAAGCTTTTCCTGTAAAAGCAGGAACAAGACAAGGATGCCCACTCTCCTCACTTCCTCTCAACATAGTTCTGGAAGGCCTAGCCAGAGCACATAGATAAGAAAAAGAAACAAAAGGTATCAAAATCACAAAAGAGGAAGTAAAACTGTCTGTGTTTGCAGAAGACATGATCTTAGAGATAGAAAACCCTAGACTGCACCAAAAAACTCTTACAACTAAGAAACAAATTCAGGAAAGTTGCAGGATACACAATCAACATACAAAAATCAGTTGCCTTTCTATATGCTTATAGTGAAATATCTAAATAAGAAATTAAAAAAGCAATCCATTTACAATATCAACAAAAACAATTAAAAACATACAAATAAATTTAACCAAGGAGGTGAAATATCTGGACTCTGAAAACTGTAGGTCACTGATGAAAGAAAATGAAGACATATATAAATGGAAAGATAGCCCATGTTCTTGGATTGGAAGAATTAATACTGTTAAAATGCCTAGACTCCCCGATGCGACGTACAGAATGCAATTTCTATCCAAATTTCAACGGAGTTTTTCACAGAAATAGTAAAGGAATCTGAAAATTCATATGGAACTACAAATGATCTCAAATAGCCAAAGCCATCATGAGCAAGAACAACAATGCTGGAGGTATCACACTTCCTGATTTCAAACTACATTAGGAAGCTACAGTAATCAAAACAGCATGGTACTGGCATAAAAACACACACACACAGGAATGGAACAGAATAAAGAGCACAGAGAAACATCCCCACCATATATGGTGAACTAATCTTTGACAGGGGCGCCAAGACCACACAATGGGGAAAGGATGGTCTCTTCAATAAACGGTGTTGGGAAAACTGGATATTCACATGTAAAAAGATGAACTTGGAGCCCCATCTTTCACCACTAACAACAATGAACTCGAAATGGATTTAAGAGTTAAAGGTGGGGCCGGCTCCGTGGCTTAGCGGTTAAGTGCGCGCGCTCTGATGCTGGCGGCCCGGGTTCGGATCCCGGGCACGCCCCAAGGCACCACTTCTCCATCCAACCCGAGGCCAAGTCCCACGTATAGCAACTAGAAGGAGGCGAACCTATGACATACAACTATCTACTGGGGCTTTGGGGGGAAAAAATGAATAAATAAAATCTTTAAAAAAAAAAAAAAAAAATTATAAAAAAAAAAGAGTTAAAGGTAAGACATGAAAATGTAAAACCCCTTGAAAAAACATAGAGAATAAGCTCCTGGACAGTGGTTTTGGTAATGATTTTTTGGATATGACACCAAAAGTCCAGGGAAAAAACATTAAAAATAAACAAGTGGAACTACATCAAACTGAAAAGCTTCTGCATAGCACAAGAAACAACCAACAAAATGAAAAGGCAACCTAAAGTATGGGAGAAAATATCTGCAAGCCATGAATCTGATAAGGGGATAATGTTTTAAAAATATAAGGTACTCATACAACTCAACAGTAAAACAATAATCTGATTAAAATATGGGCAAAGGATCTGATTTGACATTTTTCCAAATCTGATATACACATAACAGGTATATGAAAAATTGCTCTTCCTCACTAATCATCAGGAAAATGTATATCCAAACCACAATGAGGTATTACATCATACCTTAGGATGGCTATCACCAAAAACAGGAGAGATAAGTGTTGGCAAGGGAATGGAGCAAAGGGAGCCCTTGTTCACTGTTGGTTAGAATGGAAAATGGTAGAGCCATTATGAAAAAGAGTATGGAAGTTCCTCAAAAAATTCAAACTAGAACTACCATATGATCCAGCAATCCCATTTCTTGGTATATATCCGAAGGAAATGAAACCAGAATGTGGAAGAGATAATCTGCCCTCTCATGTTCACTGCAGCGTTATTCACAATACACAAGATACGGAAACAACCTCAGTATCCATAAATGAATAAATGGATTAAAAAAGTGTAATATACGCATCTAGAATATTATTTAGCCTTAAAAAAGAAGGAAATCCTGCCATATGTGACAATATGGATGAATCTGGAGGGCATTATGGTAAGTGAAATATCTGGAGGGCATTATGCTAAGTGAAATAAGCCAGTCAGAGAAAAACAAATACTGTATGTTACCACTCATATGGGGAATCTAAAACAAACAAACAAAAAATGGTGAACTCATAGACAGTAGCATACCAGGGCCTGGGGAGTGGGCAAAATGGGGAAATGTTGATTAAAGCACAAACCTTCAGTTATAAGATGAATAAGTTCTGAGGATCTAATGTACAACATGGTGACTACAGTTAATAATAACGTATTTTACACTTGAAATTTACTAGGAGAGTACCTCTTAAGTGTTCTTACTAAAAAAATAAAAGTAACTATACGCAGTGATGGAGGTGTTCATTAACTTGATTACACAATTACTTCAGAATGTATATATATATGAAATCATCATGTTGTACACTTTAAATACATAACATTTAATAGACCAAAGCTGGAAGAAAGGAAAAGAGATCTATACTAAACACTACAAACTGTGCAAGAGCGTCATGATAAAGAGCCCATGGTCTAGGTAAGTAGTTACCATGACAATGTCAGCAATTCCTGGCACAGGCAGGTCCTAGGAAATGTCAGCTAAAGGAAGCCATCAAACCGTGGGATACACACAAAAGTGCCATGGAGTTGGACATATTCATCTTGCCAGGGACAGGGAAAGCAAGATGCCATCCACTAGCCTCACTGCAAGACTACTGACCTGGAATCCTTCCCCATGAGGGTTCAGTACAGAGGGTACTGGGGCTGCAGGGGAGAGAAGAGGGCAGGGCACACACCCAAGCCCTGGTAACACAGCAACGACCCAGAAAACTGGGGAAGCAAGCAGTCCCCACCTTCCCGAGTGAGAAGGACAGAGCATCCCATGGGGAAAGGAGGGTGACGCAGGATACAGAGCCTAGTCCAGGTCATAGGGAGGGAGAGGGCCTCACCCAGCGAGGATATGAGTGCAAAGTTCTCCAGCATCACATCCTGGTACAAGTGCCTCTGAGCTTCATCAAGGAGCCTCCATTCCTCCCAGGAGAAGTACACGGCAATGTCTCCAAAGGTCATAATGTCCTGTCAAGATGGGAAGAGATGAAACCAGGAACTTTATCAGAACCCACAGTCCATCACCTCACACATCTCCACACTCCTCCTCCTCCAGAGCTCCTCACCTCAAAGCAGATACCAGGCCCTGCTGCCACTGATACCCACTCTCTCCTCAGAGTCCCATTCATCACTGTGTTTAGCCGTCAGCAATAAAAGGCAGGGGGCACAGAGATACCATCCAAGCTCTGGGCCTGGGGGGCAGGGCCCCATCCCTCCTGCCAAGCAATTCCCCTGCATCTCCCAGATTGCACCTACAAGACAGCCACACGTGGGCTCATGCTTCACCCCTGAGTCCCCACTACCAGGGCCTTGGGGCCCTCAGCTCACGCTACCTATGCAAATGCACATCATTCTGGAGATACCACCTCTCTCACATCTTCAGCCCCCACAGCTCTGCCACCTCCCTGCCCTATAATACAGGCATCTCCCTGCACTCACCCATGGACGTGGCACATGGCATCCAGAGGGTGCCTGACAAACTCAAACACAGTCCAGTACCTTCCCAGTTCTGATGGATCCCACAGCCAGGGAAAGCCCAGAACGCTGCTTTGAAGGCCTCCCCACCTGCCTCTGATCCTTGCTTCAAGATCAGCCACCCAGAACCACATGTGAATTTCAGATCCCCAGGACCCTCTTCCACTTCAGTGATGCACTTTCTGTCCCCTCAGCAGCCACAATCCTCCCCTCTCCATTCAATCTTCCTTAAACCCCTAGCCCTTACAGTCTCCCTGCCAGGCACAGTGACTCTCACAAATGACTACATTCACCCCACATCTTACCCACCAGCAAGACTGAAACACCCCAGACCCCATCAAGGCTCACCACAAAATTCCTGTGAATGTGAACAGTAGTGAATTAGCAGGAGCCCCAGTCTCACTGTCAACTTGTCTCAATTACTCCTCTGCCTCTGAAGTCATCTCACACCCACTCATCCCATGGAAGCCTTGGCCACCTGCCAGACCATCCTCTCTCCCACACCATTCCATGACCACTTCCCTCCCTCACCTGTGTTTCTCATACTTAGGAACCTCCACCAGGAGCTAAGGAACAGAGACTTTCCTCAGCATGCACCCTAATCTTTCTGATTGGCTAACAGCATTATCACTATATCCTGCATTTCACTTCATAAATATGATCCACAGCTCCACCCTGGTCCTCACAATAGCCATTTGAAAGCCTCCATCATGAACCCCTCCCCAGATTTCCAGACCTGTGTCTCTAGCTGACCACTTGACTTCCCCACACACTGTTCTCTGAAACATCTCAGACTCTTAACAGGGCCAGAACAAGACTTCTGATGTTCCCAAGGAAAATAAACCTACCGACACCTTCCACATCCCACTTGATGGAGCTTCCATCCCTGCAGCGGCTACAACCCAAAACCCTGAAGTCTCCCTAACCTCTCCCTCAACTTGGTTGCTGTTAGTGCCATCGAGTCAATTTAGACTCCTACTGACCCCGTGTACAGCAGAGGGGAACCCTGTCCAGTCTTTTTTGCACCATCCTCTCATCTTCCAGCACTGTATCAGACAATGCTCCGTTGCTATTCATAGGGGTTTCATGGCCAAGTTTTTCGGAAATCAGCGGCCAGGTCCTTCTTCCTAGTTTGTCTTAATCTGGAAGCTCCGCTGAAACCTGTCCACCATGGGTGACCCTGCTGGTTTTTGAAGTACTGGTGGCATAGCTTTCAGCATCACACCAACAAGCAGCTGCCACAGTATGACATCTGACAGAAACGTGGTGTGGTTCCCTGACCAGAAAACAAACCCAGGCTGCAGTAGTGAGAGCGCCGAATCTTAACCACTGGACCACAGGGCTGGCCCTTCCTCAACTACAACATCCCAAAATCGACTTGGCCCTTCTTCATGGACCTAGAATCCAAACTTTTCTCCCAGCTCCATGGCCACCACTTTGGTCTATCAACACGCATCTGGATTATAGCAGTAGCCTCCTCCTGCGCTCCCTGCCTCCTCCCTTAACCCAACAGACTGTGCTCTTCTCTGTAGCTAGATGGAGCCTATTAAGACCTGGGTAAGATCACCTACTTCCTCTTATCCAAACCTTTCATAACAGATCCCAAACTTCTCAGGCAGATACATTAAGGCCTCATTACTGACCTACCCACCCCACCTCTCTTTTCTTAACAGAAAGAATAGAGACCTGTGTACCCTGTTCCCAGCTCAGTCACACCTCCAAGCATTTGCTTTTTTTTTTTTCATTTTAATTTTTTTGTGAGGAAGACTGGCCCTGAGCTAACATCTGTTGCCAATCCTCCTCCATTGTTGTAGGTGGGATGCATGGCTTGATGAGTGTGCATCAGTCCACGCTCAGGATTCGAACCCGCGAACTCCAGCAGGAGCTGAGCGCGCGAACTTAACCACTACACCAGCAGGTGGGCCCCTTCGAGTATTTGCACATGCTGGTATCTATTCCTGGGATAACCTTCCACACTTGTTTACACTGGCAGCCAGAAATGGGAACACCGGTACGACCCTTGGTCTGCACTCAGGACGCAGGGCTCCCGGGTATCCTCAGGGTCCCCGCAAAGCTGTGAATATAGCAAGTAGAGTTTCAAGACACCATAATCCCCGACATCACATGGGTGGTGTCTTTTTCAGTGAGGGAGTGAGACACTCTCTCCTTCCCTGTGTAGGTTCCATAAATGCTTTTCTAGTACCAGAACCTGTGGGAAGAGGCAGGCAACCATGGCTGGGCTAAAAGTGCAGGCCTCCCCTGTATCCCGGCCCAGCGCTGGAATCTCGGTCCTCAGACCTGCCTCTTACCAGCTCTGTGACGTTGGACGAGGCAACTCCCTGTGCCTCACTGTCCTCATCACCCCCCATTCCACTCTGTTCTCTCGCTGAGCAGCTTTTGGAAAACTTTTTAAACCCTAACTCACACTGTGTCCCTCTTCGGTTCACAACCTTCCACGGCTCCCAGGGCCCTCGGATTGAAGGAACAGCCCCTCAGCCTCCAGTCCAGGCGACACTCCGCCTCACACTCTGTTCACTCCACACAGAACACGGACCCCAGGTCCCCGACTCCTCCCGGCTCAGTCGCCCTCCACGCCTCTCCCCCGCCGGGCCCTCCCCTGGGACCCTCTCCCACACCCGTCACCCCGGCTCTCAGAAACAGGCCCCACGAGCGCCTCCCCGTCCCGGACACCGGGGCGTGGGCTGCAGGCCCGTGAGCGGCGCCCGCACTCGGGGCTCTAGGGCTGGGCTGGGCTGAGGGCGGGGAGGGCGCGGAGCACGAGCACTGACCTGAGCCGGCTCCCTCCGCGCGGCCGCCGCCATCGGACTCGGGGCTGAGCGGGGCCGGGAGCGGCGGGAGAGGAGGGGACCCGGGCACGGCGGTCCCTGTCCCGGCCCTGGCGCGGGTCGGGGCGGCGTCGCCGAGACTCAGATCCGCCCTGTGCAGCGGGGACGGCGCCTTCTCTTGCGCCTTCTCGGCCCCGCTACAACCCTTCAGAGCCTTTCAGAAGGCGAACAAGCCCCAGAGCAGCCAAAACGAACCCCTCGAGGGAGACGCCGGAAGTCCCACCTCCACTCCTGTAACCAAACGGAAATGCCTTGTTTCTAAGCCTTCATTGGCTGAGCGACTCCGTCTTTCGTCGCAGAGCATTCCGGATGATGTGGTGCCCACAGTCCAACGTCGAGCTAAGAAGGTTCCTCAATGAACTCCATGACAAATGTCATAATACACCACGAGTTGCGTTGGGAAATGACGCTTCTCTTTCCAAGAGCGGTTCACCCCTTCTTAATGGGGCCATATGCGGAGTTTGGGGGACTGCTTTCTGTAACTGATCACCCAGGCATTCAGGCCATGAGTTAGGATGACAGATCTTTCCCAAGAGGTCATGGGCAGCAAGGCATATTTGCCCAAAACACACGTGCTATTTTGTGGCGTAATACTGTTCCCTCAGAGGCACACCAAGTTTGGGACCCCACAAGTTATAATGCTTGAAGAGCCCAAATCTGTTTAAAAACCATCCCACAAGGTGAACAGAAACCCCAGGAAAAAGAAGACTTAAACGCTAAAAGCTTTCTTATCGTACAACCCAAATCAAAGTGTGGCAGGTAATTCTGGAGTTGGGTACTTGAGTGCTACAAAAACTCATCACAAGTATCACTGGAGACCAACACGTCCCTGAAAAAGGTAATCTTTCTTGGCAAGGTGCCAGTAGAATTCATTGGGCATCCTCTGGGACAAACCTGGGGGAGGTCCATGCCACAACTACTCAGAGAGAAGGGGCTGTGGAGTCCCTAAGAGCTCAGGCTACTCCTGATTTGCTCCAATACCTGAGAGAAGAGAGGTCAGCTTTCCTGAACACGTTGGGGTGGTGACTGATGCACACTGTGTGGACCTGCCAGCTGATGCGGTGAAATGGCCTCGACAACAGAAAGTGGTAATTACATAAATCTGGGAAGGGCCCTGCATAGGGTAGAAAGTGCAACACAGCCACACATGCTTCCCACATAAATTAAACTTATGGGAAATCTCCCCTGGATCTTTGGATGTTTGAATGTATGAGATTCAAATCAGACTGATGGCTAGTCACAGAGGCTTTGCTCCATTTTTGTTATATTGAACAAAGGAACTGCACATTCCCTGCACAACTAAGGTCCTTCTCAATTGTGAAGTCTGCAATGATAATTGAGGCTGGAGCTATAGCTAAAAGATTTCTGGCTGTGGAAATTAATAAAGGAAACCTTAACTAAATTGGAGCCAGGAAGGCCTGTAGGGGGAGCTCTCACACGCTATCACCCACAGTCAATTACACCAGCCTGGAAGAGACACACTGTTGCGTCTTTGACGGGAAGTAAAACTACTCTACTGCTGAAAGAAGATTTGTCTCTCCACCCAGCAACAGCCCAGCCAATGAGAAACGCTGCAGCTCAGTGAAGCCCTTACTGCTCTGAACTGTTACTTTCTTCCAACACATCACATCCTGTTTCGTGCTGATTCCACAGTATAACTGTTTTCTCTTTGTGTGGAGAGGTTTCGTGGTCAGCAGGAGATTTTGTTTCTAATTATATTTCCCCGACAGTTTCTACCTCAGAATTCCAAAACACTGAAAATTCCCAATACGGCATTATCATGAAATCCTCAAGTTCAGTAGGGAACACCACTACCATTTTAGAAAGTCATGTTTGAGTAATTATTATTATTTTTACAATTTTTATTGTGATAAAATAGAACATAAAATTGGCCATCTTAACCATTTTAAGTATACAATTCTGCAGCATTAAGTACATTAACATTGTTGTGCAACTATCACCACTATCCATCTCCAGAACTTTTACATCATCCCAAACAGAAACTCCAAACTCAGGAAACAGAAATCCGCATTCTCCTCTCCCCTCAGCCCCTAGTAACTAATCCTCTACTTTCTGTCTCTACGAGTTTGACTTCTCTAGATACCTCACATAAATAGAATCATACATGTTTTTTTTGTCTAGCTTATTTTACTTACCATAATATCTTGAAAGTTCATCCATGTTGTAGCATGTGTCAGAATTTAATTCATTTTTAAGGCCGAATAATATCCTACTGTAACCGAGCAAAATGGGGCTCCTTCTGCTCGCTGCAATCCAGTGCCAATCTATTGCAAACAAGCTGGTGGTTGAGAAAGGAAAGTTTATATGATTAGCTAGCATAATCAGAAGATGGTGGCTAGTGTCCTAAAGAACCATCTTAAAATCATACAGAATCTTGAGGCAGTTATGTAGGGGAAATGGGCAGGGAAGGAGGGGGTTTAGGCATGTCAACCATCTGGTGTGACGAACTTCAAGGCACCACATTATCTTTTTCTTCTGTCATTTGTGATGGATATCAATGCAGAGTTTTTCTTTCTGGAGGTCATCATGTTCCTGGGAGACTCAGAGAACAAAGTGATCGTCTTATCACAGCTGGGAGATATACGTAAGCAAGAGTCAGAACTAGCAGATCATGTATTTTGCAAAAGCAAGAGGTGCTTAATCATTTAGGCTATGTGCAGACTACAGCGCATTCTCAGAGACTAGTGATTCAGGGCCATAGTTACAATATTGCTTCCTTTCCCTAAGATCGCTTCCCTCATGCTAACTTAAGATCTAGCTGTTACACTACTGTATGTATATTCCACATTTTGTTTATCCATGCATGCATCCATCCATCCATGGACATTGGGTTGTTTCCACCTTTTGCCTATTGTGAATAATGCTCCTGTGAACATTGGGGTACAAATATCTGTTTGAGTCTCTCCTTCCATTCTTTTCAGTATAGTGGAATTGCTGGATCATATGGTAATGCTAAGTTTAGTTTTTTCAGGAACTGCCAAACATTTAAGTAATTATACCATGTTCATTTTTTGGCAGACCAATAAGCAATATGAGGTCATACTTATTATGATTTTTATTCAATACTGAATCTCAAAATCCTTGCATGTAAGCCCAAAAATGT